ACTGCACAGAAAACATATGAACACGCCGCATGTCACCTTCCAGAATGGACGTACCTCAGCGCTTGCTCACTGCGCTTGCGCTGCTCATGTCCGAAATGATCGATACAACCAACATCCAGTACGTTCTCGCCCAGGAATGCTCAAACAGTACAGCTATACCTCCAATACAGACAAATCAGGCCTTTCACACACCACATCCGTGGGTACGGCTGTTACGCCGTGCTTACCGGCACCCGTACCGTACAAGATTGGAATCTACGGGTCATAGCCAAAATACGGGCTGACCGTACCTGTATGCACCCGTAGGTGCTACAGCCGGAACCCGGTACGGTACGGTGCACACCCCTAGTTTTCGATACTCATGGATGAGATCCACTTCTTCATGCCCAATGAACTGAACTACCGTAGCGCATAACACACCCTTCTGCACCACGATTCGGATGAACCTACGGATGCGCAAAGCGTAATGGTCCGCAGCCATGAACTTAAGGCCGTTAAGGTACACTGACGCCTGAACTCCAATTTTATTGAACTACGAGGTGTGTAACTTGTAACACGACGTTGCAGTGAACCAAGGGTTGTGATAGTACAATGGGTCCTATGCATTGCGATACATGTTTAACTGTTCCAGGGGATAATGGTGAGGCTGGTGCCCTTGCTGCTCAAGGCGAGCCACAACAGACCGGTTATTGATAGAGAGCATCTCATCCAGGAAAAAGTTGTATCTTTGAAGGCGTCAGCAGATGATAGAGTAGCTATTTGAGACAGTGTACCTGAAAGTTGACATTTCGCGCACAATGTGCTGAAACTTCCCGAACCAGCGGTTGATTTGTTCACATATAGAGGTATTGAAGGTCCAACCGCTTCCAGCAGAGTGAAGGTCAGGGAAGAGGGCGGGATTGCAATGGGTTTGACAGTATGCATCATTCTCCTTGTGCTTGGTAAATGCGTGGAACACGTCAACGACCAAGGCTGTATCGTCAAAGTAGGTGTCGTGTTGATGATCAATGTGACGACGAAGGCTGCAGGCGTTATCAAAGACCCAATATGATGGTGCACAGTTCGGATATCTGTGAGTCGGGAATGTAGCTTTGCCAAATTGCTGCTTCATGATTAGATTTAACATTGACTGAAGAACTGGGGATGCCTTACACAGCATGCGGGCATGGACTCTGCAGTGAACATTGACGCCCGAGAGATGCATACCCCACATGGACGTAGCATGAGTTGCTCATTGTGTGTCCACCGCCTATGGAGAAAGTTTCTCAACTTCGCTTCTTCAAGTGGCAGTGGTAGAGCAGTCTCCGGCTTGTCGCTTTGTGGCGGGAGTGGATCCTCCGGGACGTCCTCGATTGTTACTGAAGACAATGCATGAATAGAAGACACAATGTCTGTCTGCCAGAATATTAGACCAGTGATATCAAGCAGCTAAAGAAGCTTACCGGAAGTGTGGAGGGGGTTAGAGGGATAGGATCCACATCCACTTGTGCTCTATCTAAGGCCGTCTGGGCATACGAAGGTTGAGCAGAGAGGCCCTTCTTCAGCCGCTCCGCCTTCTCTGCACGGCGTTTAAGATGGCTGAACGAATTGAGCTGCTTGTCTCTCATTGCGTGTGCAACATGGCTCGACTCTGAACACGTGAGGGACCCCGGGCCAGATATCACAGCAGAGCACCCCTGGATAGCACAAACAGAGGATAGGGGCATATGATCCGCGCAAAAGCGATCTTGCTGATTGGTGAGTGCTTCCATGCAATGGGGAACTGAACAGCAAGGGTGGCCAATTGTGACTCCGTCCATTACCACAGCATCGATGAATCCTAGATAAAAAGAATTGAGAAATAATACACCTCAAGGTAGAACTGCACGTACGGCCATCTCCAGTCTCTTTCTTACAGAGATTGCAAGCGTGAGCCCACATTTCCTGTCCAGTACCGGCCATTCGCAAGTTGCGCTCAAGCAGTGCACCGGAAAAGCGATCACTTTGTGAACCTCCGTTGGGAACCATGAGGCGCTCATTCCGCACGAATGTCTTGTCTTTCAATAGTGCGTAGATGAAGAATGTGTCAAGAACCAAGGGACGGTGAAGGCTAGTGTCGAAGATAGAGCTGAATATATTGGATGCCGCTGAAGTAGGTGTAGCCATAGCTTGATTATATATGCGTGATGTCTGTTCCCCCGAGTTTCTGATAAATGGTGAGCCACAAGCCACAAACATACTTCAAGAAACTGGTTACTTACTGCCCAATTGAGAGCTGAGCCTCAAAAAAGTCGCAAAGTGCACGCTCAACAAACGAGCGCTTGCTCACGTAGATGAAGTCGGGGACACCCTCATAGTATACACGCTGAGCTGTCTTACTTGAGGCGTGCCGCACTTGATATGCTGGATAGTAGCCAGACTGGCAGTCTATGTACTGTTCAGTACTCTGTGTATGACAGGAAGAATGTGCTTACGTCGGCAGTAGTACGATTTGGACACAATGGGAAGAATGCCACGACGAAGTGTATATGCTCGACCATCATATCGCTTCTCATCGGTGAGCTTGGGAGGTTTGCCGTTCTTGATTCCAGGGCAATCCTTCAGAGAGCAGTAACGTGACGGTGGTGCAAAAACCATTGCGCCTACGTCCATCAGCTAAGACATTACATAGATAGAACCAAGCAAGACCTACCCAGAGAGTGAGAGGGACCATGTATGCGGAAGAGGTTATCATCCTCGATTAGGCCATCAACTGGTGCCTCAGGCCCACTACCAAGAATGGATGTAAAGAACAAGGCCCAGAGAAAGTCTGTCTGTTGACGATCAAGCCCAAGAGCACTACGGAGGAATCCATAGATATTTGAACTCAGAGTCGGTGGTGTACTGCCTGTGCCATCGCAGTTGATCTCCAGAAGAAGACGGCGCATAAGCCGATAGAACCTGGGGAGCACCTCCCATTGAACTGTTTCAAGGCGCATAGCCCCTGAGTCAAGCAGCAGCAGAGCAGTCTTCAGATCGTGAAGGCTGAGCATGGTGACACTGAAGAACAAAGATAAGCACAGATAAGCCGAGTTTTCTGCTGGATGCTCGCGGTCAGTTCAGCCTGTCCGCGGTCAGTTTAGCTTGTCCGTGGTCAGCTCGGCCTGTCCGCGGTCAACTCGGCCTGTCCGCGGTCAACTCAACTTGTCTGCAGTCAACTCGGCCTGTCCGCGGTCAACTCGGCCTGTCCGCGGTCAATCTGACAAGTTCGCGGTCAGATCTGGAGTCTGCGGTCAACTCAACTTGTCCGCGGCCAACCTCAGAGTCCGCGGTCAGCTCAACTTGCCCGCGGTTTGGCCGCGGCCACTCTACATGTGACAGTGGTCAGTCCAGCATGTCTGTGGTAAGCTTATTCTGCCCGCAGGCAGACCTACATGGCTATGGTTAGCCTATCAGTATGTTCATTACTGTTTTTTTTGTTTCTAGTGCCTCACTTTTATCCTACATCTTGTAGATATAAGATGGGATCTCAGCATAGATTAGTTTGCTAGGTAGTACAGGCTTTGAGGGAAATAGTGGGAATAGCTGGTCTTTGCAACAATACGCCCTCATCAGCAAACGGGTTGTCTGCGGACAATGACAGGTGTCCGCGGACAAGTGGCGAACTGGCGAATTCGCCGCGGCACGTGCCACACACGACGCGACCATTCACGACGAGCCGTGCGAGAACGATCGCAAGAAGTTTCGGGAAAGCCTTCGAGCGGTGGCAGGTATCCACCGTCCAAAACGGGTCAAGGAGGATAGCAGGGCCAAACTACACCAACGTCAGAAAGAGCTACGTCGAAACAAATAACAAAACTCACGCTTTGGTATAGATCGTGAAGGCTAATTCGAGCGCGACGTTGATGGTCGAAGTACTGTCAGTAAGATTTCTTCAGAGCGTCGCCCTCGGACGTCTTGACCTCGACATCCTTCTTGTCTTTGGGGAGCCAAGCTTGGAAGAGCCGCTCGTGAATGTCGGATTGGCGCTTCTTGCCGCCCTCTCCCGCGATGAGCAAGTTGTAGTCCAAGTCGAATCGCAGTACCTCGATCTTCTGGACGAGTTCTGTAACCCAACGCGCGCCTCCGAACGGATCAACGCTAAGCCAGCCACCTCGTTTGCACACACGCCGCTCTAGGTCGCCATCGCGTTCAAGGTCAAGAGAGCGCGCGCAAAATACGACAAGAGGTGACTGAGGGTCATGATTTTCGCCCGCGAGCGGCGCGGCTGACATAAGGGCAGCGCCTCGGCGGAGAGGACCCCAAGGAACAGCACCATTCTTGTCGTCTAGTAGCGCCGTATAACCAACGAGAGTACGGTGTAGAGCGGCATCCTCGAGAGGAGCATGATCACGGAGCTTGGTAGAGATGCCGGTGCTGATGCCGTTCACGACGAGTGCAGTGAGCTCGGCGAGCGAGACGGCCTGTGCATCCGCACGCAACGCATCGGCGAGAAAAGCGTTCGCACGCGTCTGTGCATCGCTGGCATGTTTTTCGGCGGCCTTGGAAACGACGGGAGCAGCATCATCACCAACTACATCGCCCTCAGTCTCAGGCGTCTTGAGCATCTTGTGCGGGCGAGGCCCATTGTGGTCGTCGTCGCGTCGATGGTTGCGACGCTCGCAGACAAGCTCAGAGATACAAGTAACGTTACGGAGAACAGTGCGTTGATGTTCATTTAGTTTCTTTTCGAAGTCAAGGGCTCTGTAGTACTCGAGGAGGGATGCGGAGGCTGAAGCAGAGGCTGTAGCGGCGTCCATGAGGATATAGGCCGGTGCGGTGCGGAGGGGTGAACGAAGATACTATTTTGTTACGCGCCCGCGTGTTGCGCTTTACACAGTGAGCGCATGCGAGTGACGTCTCGACAATGCAATGACAATGAGGGTAGCTGTCAGACGAGGAGATGCGCGCGACGTGCTGCAATCGCGTCGCGGGAACCAACGCCACAGTCTCACAGATATACTCTGTACGGATATGTATGCTTGCTTGTGTTGACATGTTAAGGCATCTTAGCCAAGTGGTTAAGGCGACAGATTCGAACTTGCCGTTCTATCTGTTGGGGTCTCCCCGCGTAGGTTCAAATCCTGCAGATGTCGATGTGCTATAGCATCAGGTGCCTACCTTCTTTTTCTTCTACGTACGTCGTCGGTGTGCAAGACTGTATGAAGTATGCGTTTGGTATGCGGGAAACCTTTCCCGCATCTATGTGCGAGAATATGCAGACTTCAAGTTCGTGCCGGCGTGCTGATCAGGGAGAGACAAGCATTTGCCGTATTCACGATTGTACAATTGTGATACTGATCGATTGTAGTATACAAGCTTCGAGAGCATATATACTCGTACATTACCCACGACTTCTGCTTCAGATGATAGTTCGATGATAGTCACTCATATCTCAAAAGTCAAAGCCTTCCTTGCGGAAGATGTCCAGGCTCACGCCGGGGACCACCTTTTCAGAGAGATCAGGTCGGTTCTGCAAGGCGATCAGATACAGTCAAGATAGCAAAAGCACAATAAGCACGTACCATCTGCGCAAACGCGCGTCGCAAAGTAGTCAGCAGCTGCTCGCTCTTATCACCGGTACTCTCCTGCAACGTGAGCGCGCTCAAGAAGTGCTCCGCGGCCTCTTTATGCTGGCCGATGTTCAAGCACGCAACACCGACGTTGTATATCGCGCGAGTGTATGTCGGACGAAGCTGAAGGGCCTGCTGATACGCGCCAAGACTCTCCTCAGGCTTGTTCCCGTTGCTCAGGCTACTACCCAGGCGATTCCACAGGAGCCAGTCCTCCGGCCGTTGACTGAGCGCCGCCTCGAAGCAGTCGCGCGCACGGTCGAACTCTTGTGCAGTATAGAAGAGTACACCAAGAGCAACTTGGGTGTCTCCGTCGACTACGCCGGCAGCATGTTGCGCCCGCGCAAGGTTGATCAACGCCTCGGTGACCGTATCGCGCGAGTGCCACGACGACTGGGTCAGCGACTCTATCGTGGGTTGCGGGATAGGGTGCGACGGGAAGCGCGCCCGTAACCAGCGCAAGAGCGTAGCATGGCTGGCGCGGTCGAAGCCTTCGTTCGTGTAGCTGATCGCAAGGCTGATCATGCCTTCGCCTGCCGCACCTGCTTCCTCAGCTAAACGCGTGCCCTCACGTAGTGCACGGAGGCCCGCCTCCTCGCGCTCATCCATGTTGCGCGTTTCGCCTAGTAATATCCATGCTTCGTAGCCGCCAGTACCAAGCTCGCCGCGCTGAATGGCGGCCTCAAGAAGGAGACCGGCTTCGGTCAGGCTACCGCCACGCGCAAGAAGTCCCTTCGCTTCGTCGAGGCAGCTGCGTGAAGATGATGGGTCCATGTACGGGTTCTGTTGCTCTACACGGTGGTGTCAGCATCATTGTGCGTCTTATGGAAGCGCGGGACGCCATACCGAAGACGTATGTCGACAGGGCGGGAATACCTTGCTCGTCGTACTGGGGCTCGAGACTGGGGTCGGCGTTCTGATTGTAGCCTTGCTCCCAGATATCCTTCATCATGTCACCGTAGTCGTAGTCGGGCTCCTCGTTCTCCGAACGCATGAGCTGATTGAACTCAGCCTCCCATTTGGCCAGGTCCTCCTGCGGCGGAGGCATATCCGAGTTCTGCATCTGTTCCCAAACCCTGCTCTCGGCGTCAGCACCGGCTCCCATCCACATATCCAAAATCGAAGCGGGAAGAGACGATGCGTACTCCTTGAAGGCGCTTCCGGCCTGAGCTTCTGTCTTGTCATCGAGCGTCGTCTCAGCGAGCTCATTCGTGACCTCCTCGATCCGGCTTTGCTGTTGCGGTTGTAATGATGCAGCTACCTGTGCGAACGCGGCATCGAAGTCGGACTCTTTGAGTTTGCCCTTGCCCTTATCCTGCGTGGAAGCGAACTGCGGTTGCTGCATGTACTGTGGCGACATGCCCATGCCGCCCATTCCCATGCCACCGTACATCCCGTACGAAGAGTTGCCGTACATCGATCGTTGCATGTATTGCGATTGTTGCTGTCCTGCTTTGACAGTCTTAGACACTCGTCGCCACAACTTGATTGTGTGAATTACTGACCGGGCTGCGCGTTCTGCTGTTCATGCTGCTGAGCCATAGGAACAATAGCTTGGCCATTCGATGCATCAAACTCGCCGGCCCATGCCATAGACGGCATGCCGGCGCGAGGAGCAGTCGTGCTGTCCTGTCGCCGAGCAATCTCAGACCACGCGTCCGAGAAGTTTGGAACGGCCCCGCGCGCAGCAGACATAAGTTGCAACTGACGCGCCATATCACCATTCATATGCATAGGCTGTTGCATAGACGACGATGGCCCCGACTGCTCAAAGAACTGACGCGCATGAGCCATATCCTGAGACGAAGCGCCCGGTGCAGACGTAGTTGGCAGATGGTGTAATTGCTTTACGCATAGATCAGACGTGCATAGATAGCCCGGTGACAGACGGACATACCCTCGAGCCCGAAGGACCTGCGATCCTGTCCTGTGCGATATTGGTTAGTAAGACCACGGTGAATTAGACAAGCGTGGGTTTACTTGTTGTACGCCGCGGTCGCCTTCGGTATGCTTGAGAACTTGGTGCAAAGGATTGACCTCTACGGCGCAATCCGCGCCAGACATTAGACCCTGTAAAGACATTGCGGGTTAGATGGTGGGGGAAAGCAAGAAGCGAGTGCACCGAGCACTTGATCGTGCCGGAGAACTTGGCGCGGCGCCACGCGCACACGTGAAAGTGCCGAACCCGGGGTAATATCCAGCTCTAATTTTGTGCTTGTCTTTCCACCACCATCATGCTCTCGCGTTCCTCTGCCATTCTCTCGGCTGCAAGGCTCGGCTTTGCGCGTACCTACGCGACAGCTGCCTCTCCAAATGTGCTGGTTCTGATCGAGCACCGCAATGGGGCTATCGAGGGCGGTTCTCTTGCCGCATTGACTGCCGCGAGTGAACTTGGCGGAGAGGTTACCGGATTGGTGATTGGCGGCCCGGACCAGGTCGGCGGCATTGTTGAGAAGGCGAAGAAGTAGGTCGTAGATTATATACACGTTTGGACAGTCGTTGACAGAAGTACAGGTTAAAAGGTCTCAAGTCCGTCTTGCACTCGACTTCGGATCAGTACACCGCGCCCGTACCAGAAATTGTATCGCCCCTTCTGGAGAAACTTCTTGGCTCTGGCTCTGCCTACACGCACTTTGTCTCTGCTCACTCTTCGGCCGCAAAGGCGCTCATTCCTCGTCTCGCCGCTAGGCTTGACGTTCCGCACGTACCCGACATCACCTCCCTCAGCCATAGCGAGGAGGGCACCACCTTCACTCGTCCAATCTACGCTGGAAATGCTATCGCTACTGTGCGCGCACCCGCTTCGTTGCCAGTGAAGATCTTCACGGTTCGCGGGACTGCATTCGCCGCGGCGCTCGACGGCGGAGACGTGTCCGCGGAGGTCCTCGAGCCGGTGTCGGTGTCCGATCCCCCGACGACACACATCAAGACTTCATTGACGAAGAGCGACCGCCCTGAATTGGGCGCTGCGTCTCGCGTCGTGTCTGGTGGACGTGCGCTGAAGAACGCTGAGACGTTCAAGAGTACGATGGAGCCGCTGGCTGACGTGCTCGGGGCAGCGATCGGCGCCAGCAGAGCCGCGGTCGATGCTGGGTATGCGGACAACAGCTTGCAGGTTGGGCAAACGGGCAAAGTTGTTGCGCCGGAGCTATACGTCGCTGTCGGTATCTCTGGTGCCATCCAACATCTTGCCGGGATGAAGGACTCAAAGATGATTGTCGCTATCAACAAGGTATGCTTTGCATCATTTTCTTCCCAGTACGATTGATAACGTGTATTCAAGGATGCCGACGCTCCCATCTTCCAAGTTGCGGACGCAGGTCTTGTCGCAGATCTCTACGAAGCCGTGCCGGACCTTGTTGAGAAGTTGAAGGCTACGAAGTGATTCGGGATGGGTAGAACATCTGTAGGAATAGCATACTAATATTTTCGGCTCTTGTCTTTGCATGAATGACGAAGCTCATCGCACAGTGAAAGAGACATTGGTGTACACGCTCTGGTATAGCAATACCTATGCAGAGCCTCGGGCGATGACGACAGGATATTGTTCGTCGGTGGTTCATGTATGGTCATTCCGATGGCGTATGCTGGTATCAAGTAGGTAGATGAGTAGCCCTGCAAGTCACAGGGAACTAGTTCGTTCCGTATCAGTGTGCTAAATATCGAGTGCAGCGATGCGACTCGCATAAAGTCATAACGGTTTGCTCCCCGTAGCGTTCGTCTTTCCAGCCTCAGGCAGATTCTTGGCCTGATCCTTCTTCACCGCTTTCTTCGCTTGAGACCTGGCGCGCCGCTTCATCCAAGCAAATCAGCATCCGTCTTCACTTACATAGGGCGTTCATATATGCTCAGCTCTTACCTGGTATTCTCGGTGCCAACATACTTTGCCTGATCAGGATAATAAAAAAGTTGGTGCGCGTCGTCGCAAAGGAAAGCAGGGGTCAGACTCACATTGAAATGCATCAATGCTGCTGCTGTGCTTGTGCCAGCGAATGGTCTTTTGGACTCCACACGTTACACAGCTCCTATTGGGAAACACTGCCTTCTTGAACTGCGTCGCAAGATGAGCGCAAAATGGAGATTATCGGATAAATTAGGCATACGTGCTCTCGCAGATAACACACTTGACCTATTGTATTGTCAGTGCTGAAAGGTCAATGCTACTAGAAGTACTTAAATAAGCGCACACGCACATCTAAAGGACCCCTCATGATTTGGATCTGCAACCCAGCGAAACGACTTTGTCGTCCCACAGTCGCAGCAGGTTTGGCCTAAAAGCTCGTGTCGTGTTCTCTGTAATCGCAGTAATTCCAATACGGAGTTAGCGGTGCGCTGCCTACAGGACTGTGGACATTCACCTGAGCCTGTATATAACAATGCGAGCCTAGTTGAGCAGAGTTTGTTTGCATGTTGACTGTGATAGGCAAATAAGTGAACGTACACCTCCGAGTCGTGCGAGCCCTGGTGCTGGGATGAGTATACCAGCGGCTACTAGTCTTAGCTCCGCAATCTAAGCAGGAAGT